AAGGTTACTGAATGTTTGTAATTTCTTTAATAAATAAAATAAAAAAACAGAATGTCTTAGCTATAGCCTTTAGATCCAAGCTTTAACAGGTTTAGGGTTCTGAAAAGTTGCCTGCTGATTCACATTGGCAGTGATGAAATGCCTTGTATGTTGCGTGCTTGCAGTTGATATAGGAAATACATAATTAGTATATTTATAATTTATTTCCCATATTGATATATAAATAAAGGAGTCGGAGTCACCATGAATAAAGGAGTTGGAGTCAAGGGTTTTATGTGCCAACTCCACAGCCCTGATTACAAGAGAGTAAGCAGGCACAAAATGGGGAATACATATCAAAAGGAATTTGGTGGTGCCGGCAACCCTCAGCAAACTACACAAACAGCCCTATTGTGTACCTGCTTGTGCTCTGAGGAGAGAAAAAAGGAAAAAAAATTATTTCTGTAGGCACTCTCTCTTATGCCTGACCCATTTCTCCCCCCCCCCACCCTTGCAGAGCAGGAGATAGCAGAGGAAGAGATTACAAGAGAATGAGGAGGCACACAATGGGGAACCCACTTCAAAAGAAATGATGTGGCACATTCCTTTCAATGTGGATTCCCCATTATATGCCTGCTTACTCTCTTGTAATCCCTTCCTCTCTAATCTCTTCACTCTGTGAGAGGGAAAAATAAGAAAAACAAAAAGCCAGGCACAGATCAAAGCATACTGACTATAAGGCGATCATGTGACTGAGGGATGCTGCGAAGGTTATAAATGCAGGCATTAGCCATAAAATTATTTTTTCAGCACTGTTGTAACTTTGAACAGTTGCTGAATGAGACAGTCACTAATCGAGGACTGCCAATTTACAATTCTATTAAATGGATAGCCCAGACTAACTCTAAAGTAGGATTTGACACATTTTTTATTCAGGCATTCTATACACAGTACCTTTAAATTCCATCCAAAACAAAATTTAAAGGCACATGGGACTTATACAATGCTGTTTTTAAATGCTACCTTAGTAGTCACACATGACCAAAAAACAAAAAATCACATACTTGTAAATAAGTTGGCAAAGGATGACTACAGGGCTCAATTTCTCCCCTGTACCTGAAACAGAAACCTAATCTGAATTCAGAATTAAACCCAACTTATTCTAATGACATTTACTTCAGGCAAGATGAATATTATTTAAATCTCAGGTATGGAAAATTAACAAAAGACCAACTGATTACATCAAGGACTTCAAATACCTAGGCATCCACTTCTAACTGTCCACTTGCTGGAACAACCAACTGAGTGAGCTTTCTATTAGAGCGCAACATTTCTAATGCAATCTTAAAATATGCTAGTCATCATGGCAATAATTACATTCCTGCAGCAATAAAACTATATAAAGCAGTGGTCCTGGGTTTGTTGTTATATGGTACACAATTCTGTGATAATAAGGATGCCTCTATTTTAAAAGCCATTCAAGTTTCTGAAAGCCATACTCCATGTTCCATGCTCAACTTCATATGCCCTTGCTCAGCTAGAGCTTAGCTGCATTTCTCTTGGGACCCACCTGAGACACTGCTGTCTCTGATACACCTCACCCTACCAGATAGGTTTTTCTCATGCCTGAGAAGGCAAATTGATGAATTTATATAACATGGTAGAATGTACTAAAGATGCAAAAATGTGTGGAGAAATTTTAAGATATGCAATCAATGGAGGAAGGGTAATGGGCTGTATATGTGTCTATTGTGAGGAATAAATGTTTGCTGAAAGAAGTGAAAACGGTTATGTGTAAAAGTATACTTCTGCACTCTTTGTTATATGGAAGTAAGAGTTAATTATGTGGGGAGAAGCATAAATTGGATGTAATGAGAACTGGTAGTACTATAAAAAAAGAAGAAATTGGGTCAAGAATGAATGGGTAATGAATGAATGAAGATTGCATAAAAATATATTGCATTATAAAAAAGTATGTTTAGGGGATTTGGAATACAGAGAGAATGAATGAAGATCAAATAACAGAATAAGTATACGAGTGAACAGTGAATTGGATGTGAAGAAGGGGAAAACTGATAATATTGTGATGAGAGAGAGAGAGAGAGAGAGAGAGAGAGAAAATGAGCAGGCAAAAACCAAAGAAAGAAAGTCAAATACAGTAATCAACTAACATGAAATTAAAAAAAATAAAAATAAGTATTAGAATGTAAAGAAAAAAAGAAGGCCAATTTCAAATTCAACATTTCATGATGGCAATCACAGTTGAAAAAAGTGGTTGGAAAGAGTCCATGAGATCCTCAAAAAGAAAGATGAGAAGTATAATGAATAAAAGGCAATTTATGAAGTGGTATATAGACATGGTAGAAGCAAGGTTAGTTTGCAAAGATAGAAAGATGTAGCATAGTATAGTGTAAACTATATTTAGTTAGATTTCCTTTTATTGCCTGCCTTTAATTTCCTTTTCTTACTATTTATTAATGTTTTTCTGTGATCCACACAATGCAGCTTGCCCTGAAAGAGAATAGTGTGATGGCCATGTATGTAAAAATGGGAACCTTGGAGGGATATTTTAAAATGTTTTTATAAAAGATAAAATGAAACAATGAATTGGGATGACTTTAAAACAAGGGACTTAGCTGGTTTTTACTAATAACTACAGAGACAAGCCATGGGAGTACAGAGCTTAGAAAAGAAATTAAATTCTAACTATGAAAATGACAGTGCCTCTATGAATGTACAACACATATCTCCCAAAGTACTGTACCCTGGGTCAATGTTCATAAAATAAAATTAGTACTAAAGGCCTGAATCTCAATTTTTTTTAACAACTAAATTTAAAATACCTTTTGAATTAGGCAATTAAAATTATTTCAGATGTTTCAGATTCCTCTGTGGTTTGCAGATTAAAGAAAATCCTTTATATTTATGAATGCAGAAAATCAAGAAGCATCAGAGAAAGATTAGAAAAGCCAGTTTGTACAAACCACAAAAAAAAATCTGTGGAGGTACCTTTCAATTCCCTAGCAAGACCAAAGAAGCATGAAGTGTCCAGATTTCAATAAGATATCTGTAGTACTGTGTGTATGTGCCTTTGAGTCAGTGCTGATTCCTGGTGACTGCCTGGACAAGTCTCTGCAGTTTTGCTGGCAAGATTTCAGAAGTGGTTTGCCATTGCGTGCTCCCCAGGGCTGAGAGAGACTGGCCAAGGTAACCCAGCTGGCTTTGTGCTGAGGGCAGGACTAGAAGTCACAGCCTCGGGGTTTTTTAGCCTGATGCTTTAACCACTACACCAAACTGGCTCTCTCTGTAGTACTAATCTGGGGTAAATACAGAATCCTGAACACTGTAATAGGAATTTCCCTTCCTCATTTATAGTGGGTTAATTACGATGGAGTCTTTGGAAGGCTTTTTGCCAGATCTCTTCCCACGGCCTGAGCTGCCCTTTATAGGATAAACTGTCAACTGAATCACACACAATTTTCCCACAATCTCTCATATTATATTTTTGGTAGAGAAATAAACCTTAGAGAATAGTGTCTTTGAGAATACTATTTATTGCCCAAATACTTTTCAGCGTTATCTTAGTATCTCATTTCACCGACTATCCAAAATATTTTTATGAGTCAAGTTGGAAGCAAGCACTGCCGGCACCCTTTCTCTCTCTATCCACCTCCAGCTGTTTCATCTTTCTTTTAGGTAAATCCTCTTTTTATGGACAGGAAACAAATGTCTTATTTTAACTAATGAATTTCTTATCAAACTAAAGATTCTTCTGTCACACACGAATCTAACAGTGTTTATTTTACTACTCAGCGCCCTCTCCTCTTTCCCTGGTTATAAAAAGCCGGAGGAGGCAGTTAGCTTTTAGACTCTGCCCAAAAGTAAAGTCACAAAAGGCGCATCTAAAAACTCCAACCCCACTCTGCCGTCCCTGCCGAGTTATACTGCTACATATTACTTACGGAGTAATTTAAACGCTGCCTTCCTTCGCTTGGGGCTTCCACAATCTCCCTCGAGTCTCCTGAGCTCTCCGGCCTCTGGAGGTTGGAGTCGGGCTCCCTTCGGCTCCCGCTCTGCTTCTTTTCGCGCCTTCCTCCGAGTGGTCCCCGAGGCAACCGCCTTCTAACCAATCGCTTCATCGCTTCCGCATCCCGTGACTGCAACGGAGACCTCCAATTGGTAATGCCGGAAAGGAGGGGATAAGGACTGCGCTGCAGTCCTGGCCACTTGAGTCTGGCAAGATCCCAATCGTTGATTCTGACAACTGAGACCCGAACCGTGTGGCCTGTTCACACGTAATTAAGGCTGACTAAAAAGCGGATTATTAAAACGCCGCCTCTGAACTTTGCCAACAAAAGCGCTTTCTGCGAATTGTAGCGTGGTGGGGTGTGGGTTTTTTTGGTGCCCTCAAGTCAGTCTTGACTCCTCGTGACTGCCTGGACAAGTCCCTGCAGTTTTCTTGGCAAGATTTCAGAAGTGGTTTGCCGTTGCTTCCTTCCTAGGGTTGAGAGAGAGTGACTGGCCTAAGGTCACCCAGCTGGCTTTGTGCCTAAGGCAGGACTAGAACTCACGGTCTCCCGGTTTCTAGCCTGGTGCCTTAACCACTGTACCAAACTGGCTCTCATTGTAGCGTTACTTCTTAAAAAATAGGAATCTCCTTTCTAAACCGGGTATTATTGTATGCTGTTTTCTTCATAAACTCAGACGCAGACCGTTTCTTCTGAATCAGGAAAACATTCGCCAGACTCCACTATGAACTAGGACAAGCTGAAATTTTGTATTTGCCGCTATCTTTTTACTACACTCAAATGCTTAGGTTTTTATTGGCTGGTTGCAACACAGAAGACGGGTAAAAATGGCTTCTCTCACCTCTCTGGACCCGGAAACCCCTTCTAACAATGAGATGCGTCACTCTCATTACTTGTTATTGTTGTTCTTCGCGAGATCCGCCTCTCTTCCTCCCAGTAGCCAATAGTATGAAAGAACGAGGTGAAGGGCAAGCCCGCCGTCCAGTCGCATTAGCAGCCGCGGTTGCGAGGGCCGTTCAGCGAACCTGCCATCTTCTTGCGTCACAGCGCGGGGAGGGGGCGGAGAAGGCTGCGCGCGGAACCTCGGTCGTCGGTGGGGTCAGCTCGCCAAACGTCCAGGACCTGCTGGGCAGGCCGGTAAGTTCCGTCCCGCGCCCGGCCTCGCTGCCCTTCCGCCCAAAGGAGTTGCCTCCTCCAGTCGTGCGGGGTAATAGAACAACCCCCTCGGCTTCACCCACGTCCAGGGGGCACGGCGGTTTAATGCATCTGGAGGGCGCCAGGTGGCGGAGGCCGCTTGGTGGGGATTTGGTGAGCGACAGGCGAGCGTGGGGCCGAGAGACATGTTCGTCCTCGGGAAGCGCCCGGCGCATAGCTTTTGTGCTCTGGAAACCCTGTATTATGGAGTCGGCTCCTCTCCTGTTCCTGTGAGGAGCGAATGACGCGTTTTGGTTTCATGTTTCAACAGTGGGCAACTTTTTCGGGCTCCCAGACATAACAAACTATTGCCGCACCTACGGCTCCCCAAATTGGCGATCTCGATTTTAATGGGAAGCCAGTGGATGCTCCCTTGATCTCTCATTCGAGTGTGTGTGTGATATTGAGATCAATGCTGTGTATGGTTACTACATTTTTTTTTTAATCTGCGCTCGGTCGTTACCGACTCTGCAGTGACTGCTTATATTCTCTGTTAATTTTGATAGTTTTATCTCCATAGACGTAAGCACATAATGGCAGTGTTAATGTAGCAACCTGGGTGTTTTCATAGATGGATTAATATTGGGGTTGGTCTTGAGGACAATTTACTAATTAGAAATCTTGCAACTGTAGCAAGTAGGTCAATTAAGATGGTGAATTTCCGGTCGATCCCATGATATGCAATTTCCTGTTCCAAGGATTTTCAAGATGGTGCTTGTCTGGAATGTTTGTGAAGTTATTATGTAGGCAAAACTGTTATTCCAAATAAGTCACTTTTTAAGTTCCTGTAGGAGTATGGAACTTTCAAATATTCCAGAATACTTTTTCTTGCAAACTGTTCTATAAATAGTATAAACATGCTAGTATTTATTCTGTGGGTCCTGACCTACAATAGGCTTGATAGATTTTGAAGGCAGAGTAACCCCCCCACCGTGGCAATGGGGAAGAAGTGGTTTCAATATATACCATAGACTTAGGGCAATGAGTCATTATTTTGACCAGCGAGGGTATGGTTTAATTGTTGGGGTTAGTTATAAAAATATGCCTATACGCTGCTTTTGTTTTCTCCCTCAAAATGGTGGGAAAGCACATTTCCATTTCACAGTATTTGCCTCAGAACTGAGCAATGCCATTCTGAGGAGCTACCAAAAAAGGAGTTTAGATGTCACATACACAATACATTGTATACTGCTAGTATAGGCAGACTAATGAAGAAACAAATACAGAAGTAAACATGTTTTGTAATAAGCACAAGTTAAAATTGGATTGTTGAAATATTGGATTGTTGAAATAAAAGCTGATCATGGGCTGGGAAGCATTAAAAACTGCAGCTATAAATAATTATGATTTACAACACATTTATGAATATGTGCAAAGTCCTAGAATCCCCAGTCTTGATTTGTGTTATCAACTGTTTTGAAGGAGTTTGAAGTTAGAAGGATTAGATTAGATTAGATTAGATTAGATGAGATGAGATGAGATGTACTATTAGAAGTAATTGGTTTCTAAAGATAAATGGATGAGCAAGATTACAGGAGAGAAAGAGGTGTTAGTGAGTGGGGTTTGAATAATACATGTTGTAGTTTTTTACATAACAAGGAAAATGAAAGGCAGTAAATCACCAGCAGTTGTCCAAGTAGAGATGTTCAAAAAAAGGGTAGAGGCATTCGAGTGTAGCATGTAAGAAAAAGGAAATAAACTAAGCAAGTGATTCTAGATAAATCTTGGTCTGTTAAAGGCAGTTTTATCTCTTGGTAGCTTTGCTAGAGATAAGCTTTATTTTAGAGAATTTATATACTATCTTTCAGATTGATTTATACTTTAAAAAAAGATTTTTTTAAAAAAGATAAAAACTAATACAAACTAATATAAAATGGGAAAAAGAAAAGAAAAAGAAATCAAAAAGAAAGCTAAAAGTGCAGGAAAGAAAAAAGTAAAAGAAAAATATAAAAGAAAGAAAAAAGATACAAAGAAGTAGTTCCCAATCTTCTTCACAGCAGTTATAAGTACGGTTATAAATTTACGTATTGTTCTATGGTTACAACATAATTCTCTTCTTTCTATAATCTATTCTGTCTAATCATCAAAACTGTAAATCATAAGTTAATTTTTTTCTCTTTTACACAATAAGTCCATAAGGGGTTTCCAGTCAGCAGTAAATGTAGATATTGTCTTTTCTCTGATCAAAG